GGGCGATAAAGCCAGGAGCCTCCTGGGGCCTTGCAAGGATTGGGGAGGAATTGGAGAGTTGGCTTCCCTTGGACAGGGATTCTGTGAAAGCCTGGTGTCCTTCCATGTGCTGGGTGCAGGGTGCTGAATGTTTCCATGGCTCTGTCTTAGTCATTCCTCCACATCCTGGGGTAACACCGCATTTGTGGTGTCTGTTCCTCCTCATCCTGGGGTAACACCGCATTTGTGGTGCCCGTGAAAACTGGAAATCTAAGTGTGGGAGAAATGATTTTAGTGAGAAGAGCCCGCTCTCCAGCGCGCTAAGGGCAGGTTTGCTTCCGTCTGGAGCTGTGCGCTTCCTTTCCATGTCCCATGTGCTACCTGTCTGACGGGGCTACACGGTGGGAAGGACATACCCAGGGCAACCGAGTGCACCACCTGACAGTCAAACTGCTCTGCTAAAACAGGGTTTTGGAATTTGTTTTATATTCATTTTATGCATATGAATGTTTTGCCTGCATATCTGTTTGTGTACCATGTGCGTGCCTGGTACCCTCAGAGGTTAGATGAGGGTCCAGTCCCCTGGAACTGGAGTTGCAGATGACTCTGAGCTTCCATGTAGGTGCTGGAAATTGAATCTGGGCCCTCTGCAAGAACAACAAGTGCCTTTAAACCCTGAGCCAGCTCCCCAGCACCCCACATGTTATATTGTAAAATCATAACTATTAATGCATACTAATTCCAATATTGGGTTTTTCTGTGATGTATCCTTACACTCATATTTATATTTTGGTTGTATTCACCCTCCCAATCCCACGCTTCTACTCTCCTCACTCCTTGTGTCCCTAACCCTTCCTAGCTGTCCCCCACTACTTTCCACAAATGAGAGAAAACACGTTATCTTTCTCTGTCTAGCCTATTTTAACATAGTAAACTTCTAGGTCTATCCAGTTCCCTGCAAATGACATGACTTTGTTGACTGAAATTCTGTTTCATATACATACCACATTTTCTTTACCCATGTACCTTTTGATGGACAGTTTGGCTACCATCAATAATGCCACAGTGAATGTGGGTATTTTGCTGGGTCCTAATGGCCTCATCTTCCTACAATGGGTGGATCAGTGTGTCCACTGCATCCTGACTCTGATTCTTTTGAATATATACTCTGGGGCAGTATACTGGCTTATATGGTAGTTCAGTTTTTAAGAGGCTTCGTACGTGTGATTTAGGACTTCCTTGCGGTTTTTCTTGGTAGCTGTCCTAATTTACATTCTTATCAACAGAGTTAAAGATTCCGTCTGGCCAATATGCTTAGCATCAGGGCTCCTTCTTGCTTTCTTGCTGATAGCCATTCTCTCTGGGGTGCAATAGGATCTTAGTGTAATTTTGACTTCCTTTTCCTTGACTGCAGAAGACATTCAGTATTTTTTCTGGTGTTTTCTTTTTAGATAAGTGTCTGATTGTATTATTTGCTCGTGATGTATCTTTGTTTGTTTGTATTTAGCTGCCCGGGGTCAAACCCTACTTTACTCATTTTCTCACTGGTACCTCTTTTCACCCTCGTAGCCAGAATGAGCATAGTCCATTGCGTCCCTGCATGAGTCCAGCCAGTTGTGCCTGCTGCCTGTGGCCTGATTTCTAAACACAGGGTTCAGATGTAGTCAAAAGTAAGTTGAAACCTCCACACTGGAAAGTAAAGCCAGACGGCAGGACAGACAGCCTAGCAGTTAGGAGCACTGGCTGCTCTTGTAGATCACCTACATGGTGGCTCACAGTCATCTGCAATTCCAGTCTCAGGGCATCTGACACCTCTTCTGGCTTTGTAGGCACCAGGTATGCGCACGTACACACACACACACACATTTAAATATACAGGCAAAATATCTGTATGCATTAAATAAATATAAAAAATAAACAAATATTGTAGAAATGTGGGGATGACACTTCCCTATTGTTCTGTTCAGTCACCTTGGACACTTTCATTGCCTATGGCTGTAGAGTATATGCCTTTTGATGAGCCAGCAAAGCTGTCTTAGAATACATTGTCATTTGAAATGTAACACAATCCTAATTAGTATTATTAAATAAAATCTCGGAGCCGGACAGTGGTGGTGTACGCCTTTAATCCCAGCATTTGGGAAGCAGAGGCAGGCAGGTGGATTTCTGTGAGTTCAAGGTCAGCCTGGCCTACAAAGCGAGTTCCAGGACAGCCAGGGATGTTACACAGAGAAATCCTGTCTTGAAAAACAAACAAACAAAAAAAAAACAAACACAAAAACCACCCAGAGTCAGATATTGAGGAGTGAAAGTTGAAAGGTCAGAAGAGGCAGAGCACAGTCACTAGAGGTCTTACCTCTCTGAGTGCTCAGCCCAAGTAGGCAAGATCCTGTCTCTACGGATCCTCAGACTGAATGCCTTGAGCTGCTGTCTCCTCCCAGTTTATATTCCTTTTTCTGCCCAGCCATATCCCTTCCTGTCTCCACCTTCCTAGTGCTGGGATTAAGGGTTGAGCCACCACCTGCTTGGCTCTATTTCTCTTTTAGACTGATTCAATCCTATGGTTGCCTTGAACTCACAATGACCCATCAGCCTCTGTCTCCTGAGTCTTCTGAGACTGGAATTAAAGGTGTGTGCCACCACTGCCTGGCCTCTATGGCTAACTAGTGTGGCTAGCTCTGTATTCTGATTTTCAGGCAAGCTTTATTTGTTAAAGCACAAACAAAATATCACCACATGAAAGATTCACACAAATAGAAACACACAAATAGAAAAGTTAACATCCATAGACAAGGATTTAGATGTTATACATCAGCCCTTTTTATCTGCAGGTTTTATAACCAACTATGGATTGAAATATTTTGGGGAAAATATACAATGCATGCAGATCTTTATTCCTGCCGTCATTCCCCAAGTGTCTTAGTTGGGGTTCCCATTGCTGTGATGAAGCGCTATGACCAAAAGCAAGTTGGGGAGGAAAGGGTTCATTTGGCTTACACTTCCAGATCATAGTCTATCACTGGAGGAAGTCAGGACAGAAACTCAAACAGGGCAGGAACCTGGAGGCAGGAGCTGATGCAGAGGCCATGGAGGAGTGCTGCTTACTGGCCTGCTTTCCATGGCTTGCTCAGTCTGCTTTCTTACAGAACTCAGGACCAACAGCCCAGGGATGGCATCTCCCACAATGGACTGGGCCCTTCCCCATCAATCACTAATTAAGAAAATGCTTACAGGTTTGTCTACAGCCCCATCTTATGCAGGCATTTTCTTAATTGAGGCCTCCTCCTTCCCAGTGACTCCAGCTTGTGTTCGGTTGACATAAAACTAGCCAGGACACTAAGAAATAGAGTGAGATAACTTTGTGTTCATTAGGCACTCTAAGCAATGGTTTAAGATGTACACGAGGGTGGTTAGTGGTTACATATAAGTAATGGCTCCATTTTATAGAAGGGGCTGGGAGCATCTGCAGCTTTGGGTGTCATGGGGATCCTGGAACTAGTCACTCACAAGTCCGGGCAGTTGCTGGGACTGAAGCTCTAGTGAGAAAAACGTCAGATGGCGTGGAAGGAAAATCCTTCAGTAGAGGATAATGCTGCAGAAACTAAATGGAAGATCTTTGGAAATATTCTCTTAGTTCTGCATTTATGCCGTTCTGGTAGTAAAGTGTGTCATTTAAGAGGTAGTCTACTCCAAAACCAGCTTCCGAGAAAGCAGAGGAGTCTAGCCATGGCAGAAGTGGAACCCCGACTCCGTTCTCTTGCTAGAGTGTACACAGAATTTTGTGTCACAGAAAATAGATCATGCAAAATGAGATAGTTATTGTGTGGCAGAAACTAAAACCTGTGAGGAAGGAAATCCCGAAGCAGCGATGTGACCTGTGTAATAAATAGTCCAGTGTAGTCAGGAAGGGAACCCCGAAGCAGCGATGTGACCTGTGTAATAGTCCAGTGTAGTCAGGAAGGGAACCCCGAAGCAGCGATGTGACCTGTGTAATAAATAGTCCAGTGTAGTCAGGAAGGGAACCCCGAAGCAGCGATGTGACCTGTGTAATAGTCCAGTGTAGTCAGGAAGGGAACCCTGAAGCAGCGGTGTGACCCGTGTAATAGTCCAGTGTATTTTGGTGTGGTGTGATTACCAAGGCAGAGTAGACAAGGTGCCTGCAGAGTAAAATGTATGTGTGGCTTTATGGATGTGGTATATATGTTCCAGGTGTATATATGCAAAGAAAAAAAAGCTGGCAAATACAAAGAAAACATTTGGGAAAGAAAGGGAGGTGGGAGGGGTTGTGACTTACACATTTAATATCCATATATTGTATACACAAAGGACGGGAGGGAGGAAGACAAAAAAAGCAAAAATAGTCTCCGTGAAGGTTCGTTAAGCACTAAGAACGCTGTCAGGCCCCCAGCTGGAAGCCCAGCGTCTTTACTACCACTCTCCATTCTTACAGGTTCTTTGCCTTCTGTGCCTCTGTATGTGAATCACACAGTTTTAAGGAATAAGTCCGTGAAAGACCATGTTGGTCTTACCTGTACCATTGTAATACTTGGTGTACTTATTCAGTGTGTGTTATTATGTTAGAATACTTAGCATCAAGCTCGTCTTGGGTCTTTGTACAAACTTTGCAGTGATAGCTTTAGGAATCAGTGTATTCTGTCTCTCTCCCTTCCCCCTCTGTGTGTGTGTGTGTGTTTGTGTGTGTGTGTGTGTGTTTTGAGGTGGGAATTTCACTTTGTAGCCCAGGCAGGCCTAGAATTCCCCATCTTCCTTCCTTAGCCTCCCAAATGCTGGAGTTACGGAGTGGGCCAACACACCCCTCTATTTTCTTAGATTTTATTTGATTTGTTAATTGTATGAAGTTTTTTGTCAAAAAAAGATGAAAAACAAGTGGAATCATCTTATTTCATGGAGAGATACAGTCCTGGATGAACTTTTTGATTCATGTGACCTAATGTATTTATTGTTACTAATCGGTAGACATGTAAGTGTAAATAATGACTTCTCATTTTATTTGTCCATAGGAAGACTATGATCGTCTGAGGCCTTTATCTTACCCCATGACTGATGTCTTCCTCATATGCTTCTCTGTGGTAAATCCAGCCTCATTTCAAAACGTGAAAGAGGAATGGGTACCGGAACTGAAGGAATATGCACCAAATGTCCCCTTCTTATTAATAGGAACTCAGGTGTGTCTGCTTGGATTTTATTCTGTTAAGAATAAGCTCTCCAGCTAGTTTGGAGGGTTGCTGTCAGACAAAAGACCCTAGGATTAGCAAATTATGTGTTTAATATGTTTCAAATGGTAATTCCTCTCATTTTTACATAAAAATAATTCCCCCAAACTATATTAATATCTTTAAAATCCTGTTTTATTTTTTTAATATGTGGAGCTTAAATGGGACTATATGCATTGGTTTCTTTTAAAATACACATCATGGGACATTATTGATCTTTCTTAATTAGATTGATCTCCGAGATGACCCCAAAACTTTAGCAAGACTGAACGACATGAAAGAAAAACCTGTCTGTGTGGAACAAGGACAGAAACTAGCAAAAGAGGTAATGAGTCCCTGCTGGATTTCCACAAACGTGAAGTCACAGCAAAGCCAGCTGCACTGTGCACTGCGTCCCATGGCTGCTGGGTACTTCTCTCCCCTGATCTCTCATACCTCTGCATTGCCGTCAGGAGGAAAGACTGTTTCCCTGACTGTAGACAGAGAGAATGGGGGTGTGCTTCTAAATATCAGGGGGGCTTGCCTGAGATCTTGCAGTAAAAATGGCAGAGCTGGGCTTCCAGGTCATAAGCTTATCTATGGCATGCCTACAACTGTGATATCTTTAAAGCCATTGGTAGGTGGCCTTTTAAAAGCTTCTCAGGTGCTTAGACTTCACACCTTTCTTAATTATTGAAATATTTGTAGTGTGCCAAATTAGGCTCTGCTTTCAGTGTAGTTGAAGTGACATTAGGTAACAGTTTAAATGTGTGGCTAAGAAGAAAAATATGGCTAGATTTCTAAAACATATTTACAGATACATAGAATACCTTTTAACTCATATTTTCCCTTACCCCAAAGCTAGATTATTTTCTCCTCCACATTGGACGATTCTTCTTCCTCCTCCTTCTTTTCCATTGGCTTTAATAGGATTTTTGTATAAATACTATCTAATGAGGTCTTTTAAAATATACTATTAGGAGATAGGAAGAAGCAAGAGAACTTTCTGGAGGACAATTTTCCCAAAGCAAACAGAAAGGACTTCACCAGCAAAGCACTTCAGAAATTGCTTGCATCTGACTTTATCATCTTGGGGAGAGAAGGAATTTCTAATGCACAAAGGCAAAAGTCCTAAGTGCGGAGAGTGGACTACAAAATTTGCTATCATATCAAGTGTCAGAAATAGTCGGCCAATGTGTAGAGCAGTGCGTCTCAGCGTACAGCAGCCCCTTACATACAATGAATTAGTCAGCAGAGGCATATGTCCCGGCAGAAAGTGGGCTAAGAGCATCCATCCTAGGCCACCAGGTCAGAAGCAAGCACGAGCTTCCACTCCAAGGAGAACAGAAAGAAACTGCCTGACTTGGCCAGGTGACAACACGACAGAACAGCATTAAGTTCCTACCCCGCTCTTAAGACGGGAGAGAAATCAAGCCTAAGGTCATGAGCATAGGGCTAGAGAGCCAGAAGCAATGTGTAGTCTGAAGACACAGTAGGGACAGAGCGGCTTGGCGATCCTGAGAAACTGACACTGGAGAATGACCAGCATCTACAGTGAAGAGTCACGTGCTGTCGCTCCCACCTCTGGCCTCTCCACTGTCTGGGCTATGTCAAGTACCTCCCACATAGGTCTTTGGGTCTTGCTTGGCTCCTCAGGATTCCTCACTGCTCAAACCTTGACCTGAAAGGCTTCTCTAACTACCTCTGCTCCTTCTCCCCAGCACTTGCCTGTGTCTGCTCTGTGCTCCTTTAGTCCTCAGCGCTTAAGCAGTAGCAAGTCTATTTGATGAATGAACTTTTCATAGAGAAATCTTTTGAACAACTGTTTCCCTCTGGAGATTTCGAATATGGGTAATAATTGGCATAGCTGTATTTTACAACTTCCCAAACAATGTGCTGTTACTGAATTCTATGAAAACTGTTTTATGTAATCGTGGCTTTTTTTTTTCTTCCCAGATAGGCGCATGCTGCTATGTGGAATGTTCAGCTTTGACCCAGAAGGGTTTGAAGACTGTTTTTGATGAGGCTATCATAGCCATTTTAACTCCAAAGAAACACACAGTTAAAAAAAGGATAGGATCAAGATGTATAAACTGTTGCTTGATTACGTGAGAAAAGTCTGTAGCGGCCAAGGAAACTGTCCATTTCTCCCAGAAAGCATTTGAAATGCTATGGCAATGTCCTGACCTCTTACAACGAAGCAGTTTAACTCGAGGGGGGGAGGGAACCTGTCCTCAGCATTCTACAGAGTTCACAGAGAATGTTTCTTAAAGATCTAAGCGGCAGCAAACAGCATCTGAAGCCACAGTCTACTATAAATACTTTATTTCAACTAGAAGGTACAATCTCTCAGGGGTTTCATAGTTAAAAGCTACAATCACATCACGTTGAGACAACATTGACAAAACAACAGTGCTGTAAATGGAACCGCTTGGCTTTGACCATCCACCTCTGCACAGCCCTTATGGAATCTGCACCAAGAAACAGCTTCTCCCCTTCCTCCTCTTAACTGCTCTTGTATGCGAGTTGCTTTCTATTCCAGTATATCCAGAGTGGTGAGCTCACCAGGCCAGCCACGTAGCCAAAGGTTGCTCCGAGTGTACAGGAGATGGGCCACACCTGAGGAAAGAATTATGAAATCAAAACCAACTGATGTTTTATTATTACTTGAGCACAAATTAAGTGTAACATAAACATTTCTATAGCGAAGCTTAATGTGCTTTCTTAAAGAATGCCAAAAGTTTAATAGGTCATAATTGCATTTACCATGAACACTAAAATGTACACATTTTAATTAATGTGCATCAAAAGGTAACAAGGCTTCTGGCAACTGTAGATTTAGTTTGATGTTCCCCAAATTGCATGAAATACATGCTAAGGTACAAATTTAAAAATTGGGTCATAGTTTGCCATAATCCTCAACTCAGTTTAGCTTTCTGAGTTAGTTGGTCATTTTTCTAATTCCCACTTTGGCTGTGTACATCAAAGGAAACAATAAGAGAGTAGGCTGACAAACCTTAGAAACCTTCAGTTGTGTCAGAGGGAAGACCTAGAATCTAAGCATGTTCCGTGGAATGTGTGGGTGTTTTGCTTCCATGAGCTACAGATACCGTAGCCACAGAGGGTACAGCCCACAGCTTATACACACTGATAGAGTACAAGGCAAACAATACTACAGGCTTCCCAAGATGGTTTCTCCAGCCATGCCATACTTTATTAAACCAGAACTAAATAATGGTGATTTCTTTAATGCCGCAGACAGGGTATGCGGGTCCCTACATAAAAAGCCCTGTGTAAAAAAATATGGGAAGCAAACTTCCATGTCTCTTGTAAAGCTTATTTGGTGTACTGGAGCCACTTCTAACCCTTCTCGGGGAATAGGCCATCACAGTGTACTGGAGACGAACCACCTTAATAACTGGCTGGTACCATTTGGTTTTCTTCCTCGGTCTGCTATGGATCTGCCTTATTCTAAACGCCATGCAACAGACAGTAGTGTTAGATGAAGCTTCCGTGAGAACCACCTCATGCAGTTTAGGGAAGCAAATCTAATCCATTATCGTGTTGCCGGCCTTTCTTAGATTTAAATTTGCTGTTGATTAAACTACGACGTCTTTGTCTTTAGCGAGCTTCTGTTATCTTCCAGGACTTGTGCTCACAGCTTTGTCTACTGCACAGATTGGGTAATGGAACACTAAACATTGATACTTGAAAATGACAGCCTTAAATGTTCACACCAGTCACAAATCTAGATGTACTGTTTTGCATGTGACTTTGTAGGAGTTTTTGAAGTCTAAGCACCACACGCCCCCACTTGGTAGTGGACAGTCTACTGGACAAGAGCTTTCTCTTGGAAGTGGACGTGGGATGTCTTTTTCTCCAAGCAGTTGTGGTTCACATTAAGCATCATGGCCTTATGTATGCTCAAATGGGATTTCTGTACTTTTCCCATTTTGTTTTGGTCTGTTTTTAGATAGAATTGAAAGAAACTGTATAATGAGTTAACATGCTAGCTAAGTTGTCAAACCCATGATATGAAGGAATCCCGACAGTAAAGTGTTATTCATTTCCAAGTTGCCTTTGGAGATTTGATGGGTTTGGGTCTTGGTTTTTCTCTTTTTTTCTTCAAATCTACATCTGTGAAACCCTTGACACTTACTGTATTAGGCAGTTATGTTAAAGTCAAGAACTTTCCTGCTCCAGGAGAAATGGATTAAGAATCGGGAAAGGTGCACTGGTGTCACCTCGGTCTCCTCATGCTGTGACCGTGGGAACGCTCTCCAGTGTCCCCCCACTCATGAGCTCTTTCACTCTCTTCTGATTCACAGCAGCCATAGTTGGGCATCACTTTTTCAGCTTCCCTTTCTCCAGATGTAAGAACCATGTATGTAGATACTCGAACTCTAAGCAGACGATTGTATCATCTGAACCTGAGGTGCCTTAGGTACTCTATTTACCTTGATGGGGTTTGGAGTTTCCCATTGCTTGTTAAGAGCTCTTTGTGTTGGTTATTTAGTATTTCTTTTTGCAAAATCTTCTCTGCCACTTTAACCAAAAAAACCAAAGATTTGTTTTCTATTCATGGGCAGATTATAGAGAATATGCCTTATTTTTCAGAAGCATATCTTCATTAAAGGCTTAGGCTGCAACAGAAACTTAGACTCTGGAAAATCCCTTTCAAACTAGTGAAATACCTAAGAAAGAAAATACTTTTCAAAACTATTTTATTAACATGAATTGTGCTAGTGAATGCACTGCTTCAAATAGGTCATGTATGAATGAACTTAGAAGAAATTATAATTCATCAGTGTTTGCACAGAAAATTTGTTCTAAAGTCCTTTAAAATTGTTAGGGGAATCTTGAAATCTAATAGAACTTTGCTAATGTGTGCCCTTATTCCATCCTTACATTGTAGCTTACTTGCAATGAATTATATTTCCAATAAGTAAGAGCTTGGGTTCCTGCTATTTGTTATGAATTATCTTAGTTACTTTAGACATTGCTTCCATTTGATTTTTTAATTATTGGTTTTAAATACCAAATTAAATACTGGTTTGTTGGTTGTTGCTTTTTAAGTGATTGTTACTTCAACAGTGTCCCTTCCTAACATATGGGGTCATAAATAAAATGAAATGCACAGTTTACTATTTATGTAAAGCACTCAACTTCTTACCTTAGTAGTTTTTATTTAATCCCTTTCCTCTGCTTTGAGACTGCTCACCCCTGGCAATGTGCGAGCATCTGCGCCCCCTAAAAACCTCTCTGTCAGTCAGAGTGTGAGGAGAGTAGCAATCCCTGTGGCTCCCAACCAAATTCCAATTTGGGGCACCAAATTCTGCTTTTATTACTCTGTGACTTCAGTGTGGTTCACTGTTCTCAAACACAGACATACACAGCCGCATACTTTAGACAGCTGCCATACTTCACTTCCCCAAAGAATGTGAAAAAAAAATGAAATAAATGTTGGGTTAAATGTTTTTCTCCTCTAAGGGGTTAAAGCTTGGAACATTCAGTAAGTCACTGTTAGGTAAAACTCAAGACATCCATACCATCAGCAAAAGAAAAGGTCCCAACTTTCCAGACGGTTTTCTAGTGATGGTACAGGCTTTGTGCCTTTAAGAAGACTGGCATGGCTCTCCTGTGACACACAAGTCCTTAATAAAAATTCTAAGTGGCTTCTTGCTGGCTTTCTTACAATTGCTTTACAATGTTTAAACCACACCACAGCACAGAATTCATCCCGACTTGTCAACTCAGCCCAGCTTAATTATATTTTAATAATGAGATCTTAAGTTTTCCATTTAAAACTATTTTCCTGTTTCACAGAAAGAGTTGTTTTAACATTCTTTATGACAGACACATTAGTATTTCTAAAAATCTATAGAACCTATGTGCTGCTTCAGCTGCAGAGATACAAGTACTTCTCCAAATTATGATGATCTGAGATCACTATATAATTATTTGGTTTTATGTAAGGAAAATAGGAAATTGAGAACAAAGACATTCATATTAAGAAAGCCAATCATAGGGTTTGCCACCAAAGTGATTGATGATCATTTTATTTAATTTCTTTTAACTTCAAATATTTTTTAAAAATCACTAAATGGAAGAAACATCTCATGTTATATAACAACATAATGCAATGCAAGTAGATAAAATTTGTAAGGTTATCAAAAGAAAACTATTTTAGAGATGAGCAGCTTCATCAGGTAGAAAGTCAGCATCCTAGCTATACACAGTGCACCTGCCTTTCGTCCCAGCACTCGGGAGGCTGAGGAAGAGGATGGTTCATTTGAAGCAACCTAGGATGCTGTCTTAGGGTGGCCATGCTGTAATGAATCGCCATATCCAAAAGGAACTTGGGAAAGAAAGAATGGGTTTATTTGGCTTACACTTCCACATCTCTCTATTCATCATCTAAGGAAGTCAGGGCAGGAACTCAAACAGGGCAGGGACTGACACAGAGGACCACCAGCCCAGGAGTGGCACCACACACAATGGGTTGGACCTCCCACAGCACTAGGTAAGAAAATGCCCTGTAGACTTGCTGAAGCCCCATCTCATGAAAGCATTTTTTCCCTGAGGTGCTCCCCTCACAGACGGCTCCCCTCACAGACGGCTCCCCTCACAGACGGCTCCCCTCACAGACGGCTCCCCTCACAGACGGCTCCCCTCACAGATGGCTCTCCTCATAGACGGCTCTCCTCACAGACGGCTCTCGCCTGGGTCAAGCCGACAGAAAACCAACCAGCACAGCTGCAAAGCAAGACTCTATCTCACACAATCACGGTGCTGGTGGTGCTGGTGCAAGCCTGTGACCTTGTGCTTGGGAGGCTGGGTCACCACAAGCTTGAGGCCAGCCTGGGCTACAGCATACTCAAAAAAACAAGACACCAAGGAAAAAAAAGGGAAACAAAAAGCCAACTCAAACACCCCCCCCTAAATAAAAATGCCTTGCTTTCTGGGCATCATTATGTTTCTTCCTATAAATTATGTTATTGTGGGTTTTTTTTCCTTTATCACTTGAATAAGAACAAAAAAAAAGGTCTGTTTTCTCAAAGTAATAAAAATTAATAAAAAGTTTATATTATCTAATATAGAATTTGGGTAACTGAAACCTGTAGTTTTTTCCAGAAATAAAATAATTTCATCTTCATAAGCCAAAAAGCACTTTCAAAATATACAAATAAACTGAATATGTGTGTTTTTTATGTCAAATAAAAACAGTTTGAAAGGAACAATGTAGGATGGGGCAGATGGCTCAGCAGTTAAGAGCACTGGCTGCTCTTCCAGAGGACCGAGTATGGTTTCCAGCACCACATGGAGGCTCACAACCATCTGCAACATCAGTCCTGGGATTCAACAGCCACTTTTGTCCTCTGTGAACACACAGCATATACATGGACACAAAATATGTAAAATAAGTAATCTAACAAAAGACAACAATATAAAAATGCAATAATCCAAAAGTGTGTGTCCACTTTGCTTTTGCAAGAAGCATTTATGTCTTAGGAAAGGAACTGCTCCAACACATCTGTACAGTGTGATATTTCTCGACTGCGTTCCAGCTGGCATAGAACAGTGATTAAGAACACTGATTTTGGTATTAGACAGACAGGATTTGAATCTTGACTTAAGATTTACTAAACGTGGTCCTTGGCAAGTCATCTAGCCACTTTGTGCTTAGTTTCTGTGTCCAGTATATACCTGCAGGTCTCATACATACACAGCAATAATAAATATCAATGTAAAAAACCATATTCTTGAAATATACATTTTCTAAAATTCACAAATGTCACAAATTCTTGCGTAATTTGAAACTAGAAGTCATAGGATTATAACTGAATTGGTTACTGCAAAATGCCAAAGTAAAGGATAAAACGAAGATCACTGGTTTGATTGAATGAGGACTTACATGATTTTAGGCTAAATTGGTATTTCCCTTACTGAAGGGATTATACTGTATTCAAGTAAAATGTTAATATATAGTTACACATTTCAAGACTGGGAAAAGTAATACTTAACGGAAAATAATTCTGGGTTAAAGATGTGCCCATTATAAGCTGTGCTGACAGGACCAAGGCAGAACTTTCATTAGAGACGGCACTGGCCAGGCTAACGCATGCGTATGTGTGTTCAGGAGTGTTTACTGTTACTTTCGAGGAGTCCTGACCAGGAATTCACCGCTCCACAAGTAATTTCCTAACTATGTGTTCTGTGTAGTAGGAGAAAGGTCAGAGTAAATGCAGGTCAGTGTCCATTTGCAGTTAGCAAACTAGACCCAGATGAGCAGCTCCATACACCAGAGGGCAGCATTTGCTTTAGGAGTATCCAAGGCAACACACTCAGGACCAAATTCAAAGGAAATGCAAATCATCATTTGAAGGCAATACATTACCAGGCTTCGTCAGATGGATTCTAACAGTCATGCAAATGAAAATTTGTTCAGGACAATAAACCCACTAAAAAGTAGCTTGTGAGAGACAAAGAACTGGTTGCAGAGATCTAACAGCCCTTCCTCTGCAATTCATCAGTTTATCCTATTTACTCTGATGGCACCCACATCTGGAGGCTCACAAACACCAGTAATTCCAGGTGAGGTTTCCAGTGTCCCTTCTGGACTCCATGGGCACACACATGTGCACAGATACACACAAATAAGTCTTTAGAAGAAGTAAGTGGAACATGACACCTGTCACTTTCCTATAGCTACATGCTACATATGTGTGCACACACTTGAAAAAGCATGAGTTTTACAGATACAACAGCACTGAAAATTAGCTTTAAATATGCTCCTACAAATGTATTAAATTTTGGTCTAAAAATACAGACATCACCAGGGTGATGACGACACTTAGAAAAAACAATATGGGAAAAGAAAGCAATTTAATACTCTAAAGAGAACAAAGCTATGGCCTGAAAGAAACAAACACTGTTTTCAGTCTCCGGCAGTGAAGAAAATCATGGTGTAGGTGGAGCTTTTGTTCGGATCCTAAATCGTTCCTTTGCCAGTCAAATAATGGTGAACATGGAGTGTACTCTTTCCTTCCACATGTTGCCTTTGTGTGGGTTAAGAACAGGAATGAGACCACCTTGCATTACAGCTGCCATGATTACATTACCTTTGGCATAGCACCAAAACCCATGCCTGGAACATAGAGACCTACAAATGACTCATGTTCTGTTTGTGTCTGAAATGTCACACAGAATTGAACACGATATGAAATTCAAGAAACTCAATAAATTGGGTTAAGAAAATACCAAAGAAACAAAAGGGAAGTAACTCACTTAAACTACTAGCAGAAAGAACAGGACCAAAAGCAGGCGGTAAAAGCTCGGTATACACAATGAAGCTGGCATTTGTGTATGCTGAAAGATTTGTCAGCAAACCACGTCTTTCATAGGTCACAACAGTGTGGTAGGTACCTCCTACCCTGCTTTCTGTAGCCACCTTCTTTTGCTGCCTTCTACACATGGAGGGAGGATTCCCTTCCTTCAACTATGGAGATGTCCAGTAGCTTCATCACCTGTCGCTACTAAAATATTGAAAGCTCACATGGTTGAAAGTAAGTTTCATTGGCACCAATTCCCTGTCCCTTACTGAAGAATCTACTTGAAAACTACAAATATGCCTGAGATTTCTCATTTCAGAACACCATTAATGCCTGGCCACAGGAACATTATATGAAAGCAAATTTGAATTCAGAGTAGAGAAAACAGCATTAAAATGTGACAGGTTTTTTTGTTGGCTCTGTGTGTTTTTAAAGAAACCAGACACTCCTGTTTCTCCAAAATATAAATAAAACACAACCCAGAGATGCTTGCTCTGACATAACTTAAACGAATCAAGTGTGTACTGAGCTACAAGGAACAAAGAACTGAAATTCCCTTTTCATAGCATGCTGTATTTCACAGGAAGTTTACACAGTATACCTTCTCCTGAAGTTTCCTTCGCTCTAGCACAATCCCCACATTAGGAAACGCCCTATCCCCTTATCTCGTTTACTGCTTTTCTGGCAGATTCTGTCAACATTATGAGCCATGGTGCGGTCTTGTTCTGTAGAGTTTGATTTATTAAAAAAATAACAATAGCACCACAAAAACTTTGTTTGCTGAAATGAAAGTGAAAGAAAAAAACCAAAAGCTCATCACTTCTCCAGTTTATTAGAAAACCCTAAAAGGGGCATGAAGAAGTGAGTAAAAGGCCTGAGATGTCGATTCTGTTCTTCCTTATGCATACATGTCCCACTTTAGAAGGATGACAATGAATAAGCCAGGGTTTCACTTGTAGTACTCGAAAACGAACAAAACAGCCAATGTATCCCAGCTGAGTGAAATGTTCTCAATAATGACTAACAACTTGTATTCAAATCAGCTAACTAGAAAATCTTTGTTTAAAGTCCATAATTCAGAAGATAGCTCAGTAGTAGCCCAAGCTGCTGTCATCCCAGGAGACGGGAGCCAGAGAGGCAGCTAGCTAGGTGTACACAGTGACAATGAGGCGCCACCACTGGACTGCTCCGTGTGCAGTAGTGCACAGTGCACACTCACAGAGATTCAAAAGGCCAATTCAGTCAGCACCTGGGATGTGGGGAAGGAGGATCAGGTGTTCAAGGTCAGCCTTGGCTACATCGTGAATCCCAGGGAAGCCTGTGCTACAGTGACAGCCTGTCTCAAAAAGTACACTTCCCAATGTCATAGGTTAAGGGAAAACTACAATAATTAAAAAAATTGATATTAATTTGAATCTTGCTCACTCTTCATTGTAAGTATAGGGGGTGTGAAATTAGTGGCAAAAAAGCCTGACTAATCTAAAACTGGACAACGGGACTGTGAACAGTGTCTCCTAAGCAAACCCAGACACCTGCTCTAATCAGCACATCCACCTTCCACAGTCTGGCTTCTAGTTCTGTAGACTTGCAGGAAAGTTCTAAACAGGTATGATCAAACTTGTAGACACTAATGTAGGTAATGTATATACACACGCTGACATTTTACCAACTCATTAAAGCTGATGTCCCACTGTGCTTTAGTTTCTATTGATATTCTATATTTAGATTTAATTATATTAGCCTAAAGTCATGAATGTGGTTGTTTGAAATAATACATGTACCTTCTTCAATAATTTGCCCTCCAATCTATCTTCAGTTGAATGAAACTAAGTATGGCTGACTGCAATGAGATGTCAGCTCTGTCACCAACATGATCAGAAGTAGGACATCAGTACTTGTGGTCACATTCTCCAGACCTCCCAATACATCAGTACTGCCACATTCTCCTTCTGAGACTTATACAATATAACAATCCGTCATCATGCAGAGGGCAGCTCACCAGAATTATTGAATGTGAAAGAAGCACTCAACTGTTTGAGAGAGAACATCTAAGTGAAACCACAAAAATGGATCTAAAAATAGACAGTCATGTTCAACATAAAATTCAGGTCCTATAAGTGATGTATATGTGAAAGATTTAACTCCAACCATTTGCTACCTACAACCTCGGCAAATATGCAGGTATATGCTTAAGTATGACAATAATAAAATTAATGCTGCTACCAGTGAACTGAAAACAACCTAAATGCCCATTCATTAAAAATGGATGTATTGCCATGTAGTGGTGGCACACACCTTTAATCCTAGCACTAAGGAGGCAGATCTCTGTGAGTTCAAGGCCAGCCTGGTCTACAGAGCAAGTTCTAGGACAGCCAGGGCTACACAGAGAACCCTGCTTTGATAAACCCAAAAAGAAGGAAAAAAAACTGACATATTATTTTAAGAAAATAGAGATGTTGCAGTTATATAATTCTTCACTAATGTGGTAACACCATAATATAAAGTTTAAAGGGAAAAAGCAGATTAAAAACAACATGTACATTATGAATAGCATGTATGGAGAGAGCTGCAAAAGCTACCATCAAAATACAAATGGTGGTTTTCCCTCACTGAATGGGGACAAAAAAAGCTAATTTTAACTTTCTACAAAAATTATTAATACAGCTTAAATTTAAAAGGCAAATATATTTTTTCTTTGAGACCAGAAAATATTCCCTTCATGTTGAAAAAAAGTACATTTATTTTTAATATCATTGTTCATTTTAGGAGAAATTACCTCAGTAAAAATTCATGATGCTATAGATTCAGAAGTATTTATCACAACAGTGTTTATTATAGTAAATACAAGCAATAAACTAAATGATCAATAGTGAGTTTATTACATTATAAAATAACTATATAATAAAGTAGCATATTATAAAACAATTAAAAATTGGTGAAACAAGATCTTGGGGACAAAAAAAGAGGAAAGGTTATGGTGCCACAGTGATGAGTTTGTGTGTCAAGTTGACAAACTATAGTGTGTCCTGGTTAATTTGAATTGTCAACTTGACAAAGCCTGGAGTCATCTGAGAAGAAAAGGCTCAACTGAGGGATTTCTAAGCTTATCCTGGCCTGTAGGCATGTTTATGGGGCTATCTTGATTATTAATTGATGCAGGAGGACCCATCAGCTGTGGATGGCACCATCCCATAAGCTAGCTAAGCATGAACCTGGGAACGAGCAAGCAGTGTTCCTTCACGGTTTTTGTTTCAAGTTCTTGTCTTGAGCTCCTCTCCTGACCTCCGCCAATGAGGGACTGTAACCTGGAAGTGTGAGCCAAATAAGTTTTTCCTCCCCCAAGTTGCCTTTGCTCAGTGTTTTATTGCAGCAACAGAGAGTATGAGAACATGGTGACATGCTTGTAATCCCAATACTAGGGAAGGAAAGGTGCGAGGATCAGGAATTCAAGGCCAGCATGGACTACATAAGATTCTGTCTTAAAACAACCATATTTTAAAAATTAAGATAATGATGCTTGGTGCGGTGACTCATATCTGTAATCATGAAGCCGGAGCAAAAGGATCATAAGTTTCAGGACAGTCTGGATGACAGAACAAGTTCAAAGTCAGCCTGAGCTATGCAATGAGACCTTGTCTCAAAGCACCAAGGGGGTGGGGATATGGCTCAGTGGTATCCTGTGTACTGTCCAGCTTCCTCTCAAACCATTTGCCTTTGTTTTGAAAATTGTGTAGGGGCTGGCAGGACATCTCAGTGGGTAAAGGTACCTGCTGGTGCTGCCAAACCCGACAACCTGTTTGATTCCTAGACCCACCTGGGGAAAGTGACAACCTATTCTGATTCCCGCTCGTGCACTCCAGCAAGCATGCACCCACAGACCTGTGCACATGAGATAAATAAAAATGTAACAAAGCTTGTTTTAGAAACTACTTTGCTTTGTAATACATTTCAAGGTAAGTATTCAATGAAGCAATCTATCTAGTTAAGAAAATATAATCTAAGATGAGAAGTGCAATAACGAGAGAGACAGAGACAGAGACAGAGAGAAGAAAAGCCTCCTCTGTGTATTAGCAAAATAAGCTTGTAAAAGACTGGGGAGTGGCTGCTCTGCAAGATGAAGTCCTGAGTCTGGATCAGCAGCACCCATGTGAAAGGCAGGCATAGTGACAAACATTTGTAATCTCAGTGCAGGCAGGGGAAGACAGGAGAATCCAGGGCCTCAATGGCTAGCCAGCCTAGCCAATCAGTAATTCAGGTTCAGTGAGAGACCCTGTCTCAAAAAATGAGGTGAGGACCAACAGAAGAAGACACTGGATGTCAACTTCTGGCCTCCACACATGATAAATGCATAAGCACACACATAAGCAGATACATGCATACAACATGTATATGCACAGTTTAAAACGAAACACTCACTTATGCATATAGAAAAACCAGCTGTACGGTAGATCCAGGCCAACATGAATGCCTGTGGCACTGGGTCATGTCCCAATAGCAGCCACCGAGACTGAGCTGTGCTCCCTACTTTACTGAACAACCAAATACCTTGCACCACATACTAGCTTTCTTCATCAGCTTTCCTACCACTGTACCAACACGCATTTTGTTCATTTGAAGTCTTTAAAACCAACCTGCCATGGTCTTTCCCAGTCCAGTGGAATAGGAAATGCTCCAAGCCATGCTCCTATAAAACTTGAAATTGTAGTGATCTGAAGACTGTTCTCCCAAATGGATGTAACTCTGCAAAACACAATACAAGAGTTATTGGCATTTATATTATAGTAACTAGACAAGCACTAGCACAAATTGATGCTACACACATTTCTCACCCATTTACATAATCAACACAAACTGGCATAGAAACATGAAGATACACATGTATTTCCACTGTGAAGGTACTGCGTGGGCACTATGAGAGGAGACAGTCTCAAAGAGCGCCGTAGTAAGAAGTATGTTTTCCAATCACACCTCTTGAGTTCTTCCCCACAGCAATGGTCATTTCTAAATGATTATGTTCCTCTCCAGAAAGAGTCTGTGCAGGTTCACACACACACACACACACACACACACACACACACACACACGATTTTATCTGAAAGTGCATATGCATATCTACATAAATAAAATGTATACACACACACACACATATGTGTATTTTTCCAAGTAAGATTTAAATGCATCATGCTCTAAGCCAATTTAGCTTTGTTTTCTGCATGAATAGTTATAACAGTAATTCATTGTATGGATGTAGAATAGTTTTCTCAACTCATCTTCTTCATGCCATATTTTATTCAATATGACTGCATCTGGTTGATAAATAAGGGATAGAGAACAAGAACTTTAAAGGATCCCATCCATGATGGTGGGCATGGTGGCACACACTGTAAACCCAGTGCTCACGGCAGTCAATTCCTATGATAAAAGGGGAAGGACAGAACTCTTGCTCCTCTCATAGTTCAGGTCTTGATTTCAGTCTTAGAATGCAGGTAGATATTCTTACCTGCATATACATATATATATATGACTATATATATATACATATATATATATGACTATATAACTATGACACGTGAGAACATGTGTCTAGTTACAGTAAAGGCCCACACAATGCAGCACGTGAGGGCAAAGATCCGACGGCTTACAATGCATGGTGGAGTTAATGTGAGGTTAATGAAAAGCAGCAGCAGCATTTTCATTAGAAACTCTCCAACTATTTCACACAAAGTGTGCAGTGAATTACTGACATTCAAATGAAATGCCCATCTGGCATCCCCACATCCAGAAAAGTCTTGTTTCTGTTAAAATTTGGGGTTGGAAGGAAGTGGTAGACAATCACCCTGTATCCAAATCTGTATTATTTGCTAGGCCTTACTGCTCTATATTTTAAGTAATACTTGGAAATGCTAGCCTGGCAGAATAGAAAGCTAGTCTTATTTTCAAGAGGAAATAAACTAGCTGAGTTAAATATAAAAAGAGAGTTGCATTGTCCAGGTAACGTAAAAGAGTCTCCAAGGTAAGTTTTGACTAGATTTGTGGCCAACAAGTATTGACATTAACACACAGCTAGCTCAGCTACGCCACAACACAGAAAGCGGGTGCTAGAGATGTAAAATGTGGAGAGGCTCAAAGCAGACTTACTCTCTGCTGGAGAGTGTGTTTTTGTTTTACCTGAAGAAGGTCATCCAGACCCCAAGGAATAAACAGTGTGAGGCCTTGAGCTAGAAAAAAATGCCCTGTGGATAAGAGGACGTGTGTGATGCTGGATGAGGTCAGTGCAAGCCGGGAAACAGGCTGGAGAAGTGGGTCAGAGATCTACACAACTTTACGCCAGTTGTGGTAGCTCACACATGTAATTCCGGTACAAAGGCGGCTGAGACAGGAGGAATACCACAAGATCGGGGTTAGCTTGGACTACACAGCAAGTTCTAGGCCAACCTGGGATATTGTTAAATAATGACTTGTTTGAGTATAGCAACAAAAGCAAAAACAAACAAAAACCCTAGGAAATACTGTTCTAGTCACATAATTTACTAATCTAAAATTTATAATGCAATGGTTTTGGAGATAGTCAGTATTACACACTCATCACCAGGCATATTAGAATATTTTAATCACTATAAAAAGAGACTCTTCATTCATCAGCAACCACTCTCCTTTCTCCTTCCCCATAGCCCAAAGCAACTGAGTTACTTTATGTCTACGGATCTGCCTATTCTAAGTATTTCACCTAAGTGGGCTCAACTGACATGAATTCTTACACTGATTTCTTTCACTTAGGATCTTTTCAAGGTTCATCTATGGTGTAGCATGTATAGACACTTCATTCATGTCAGTGGATTATACTCCCTTGAATGGATACTAAAGATTTTATTTCTCCAACCAAAAGGTGGTTAGCATCCAGGTTGTTTCTACCGTTTTTTTTATTTTTGCTATTAAAAAAATGCTGCTAGGAGCATTGGTGAACAAATTTCTGTATAGAAACGTGTTCTCATCTCTCTTGGGATTATACCTAGAAGGAAATAGCTGGGCCACTTGCTATTTGAGAAACTGACAGTTTTCCCAAGCAGTTAAAATATTTGATTTTCCCACAAGTTGAGTGTGAAGGTTCCAGTTTTTCTACATCTTCCTAATTATCTGTGGATTACAGTCATTCTAGCCAGTGTGAAATGGGAGTATCTCAATGCAGCAGACTTATGGTTCAGATTGCATTCAAGTCATGCTATAGAAGTCACTGAAGGATTGTAATCAAAGCAACTGTGTGATCAGAGCCACTGGTGCCAACAAAGATGCTTTTTACAATTTCACTATTCCAGCACATTGTAACAAACTTTTGCTTACTAAAATAAAAAGTGCAAACATCCAAGAGGTTGTTTTCAGTTTTGATTGTTCAGCGTATCCATGATTGTTTGTGATCCTACATACAATAAACATCAAAAATATGGAACCAAGATGTATATAAAACTATAAAAATTCTGCAGCCTTGTATTTTAAGTGAATGTATTTATCAAAATAACTTATGTAACTTTGTATTGTTTTTATTGAGCTATATATTTTTCTCTGCTCCCCTCCTTTTTTTCTCCCCTTCCCTTCTACCCTCTGCCATGATCCCTATGCTCCCAATTTACTCAGGAGAACTTGTCTTTTCTACTACCCATGTAGATTAGATTCATGTATGTTGCTCTTGGGGTCCTCATTGCTGTCTAGGTTCTCTGGGATTAAGACCTGTAGGCTGGTTTTAATTTGCTTTATGTCTAAAACCACTTGTGAGTGAGTACATATGGTATTTGTCTTTCTGGGTCTGGGTTACCTCACTCCACATGACGTTTTCTAGCTTCATCCATTTGCCTGCAAATTTCAAGAGGTCATTGTTTTTTTCTGCTGTGTAGTACTCCATTGTGTAAGTGTATCACATTTTTCTAATCCATTCTTTGGTCGAGGGGCATTTAGGTTGTTTCCAGGTTCTGGCTATGACAAACAATGCTGCTATAAACATAGTTGAGCACTTGTCCTCGTGGTACAATTGAGCATCCTTTGGGTATATACCTAAAAGTGGTATTGCTGGTCTTAAGGTAGGTTGTTATGTAACATCTTTAAAGTCAAAGATAACAATTAGAATAAAAGTTTCTTCCTCTACCTGATTTCTACACCCTATAGAGATGCTTCCAATAAAACATATACCCCATATAAATATATATTTATATTATATATATTAAGTATATACATATTGCATGCCTTATATTCCAAGATGTTCTTGCTTTCTGCATTTTACTGTAGAAGACATAGCTCCTTTTATCCACAAGCTTCCATGTCAACATCTGTCATCTCTTCAATACTAAAATTGCCCCCTTTAGTTGAATGGATAACAAGTGTTTTCGTAACAGCCATGAAAACATCAACCATAGAGCAAAACACAATTACACGTCTTTTCTCTTAATAAACACAATTTTTAATTTTCCTTGGTGCTAAGAGCTGCTTCTCCCCCCTCCACCTGTTTATCTCCCTGTCACTAACTCATCTTAAACACTGAAAAAGAAAGTGACCTCAGAGTACTCTAGATGTTTGCTTCCTCTTTCTCCGCCCTGTTCTTTCTGAAGTGTCTCATTTGTTCCAGTCCGGCTGCTCTCAGCCTGCTGACAGCTCAGTTCTGAGGATCCTGCACTAACATCTTGGAATTTCTTTGTCTCGGGACCACTGCTCTGGGATCGATTGCCTGGGTTCTGGGTCAGATCTTGATCCACTCTCTCATTCCCTCTCTCTCCTCTATCCCCCATCACCTTTCCTTCCCCTCTCAAAAATAGGTTTGAAGAGATACTTTAAATCTGAAAATGACTTTATTATGACTGCCACAGATATTTTGTCTCAGATTTTTGGAAAGCACTGTTCCCTTGGGTCCTGGTTCCCACCCAAAGGTTCAGTATCATTCCACTCCCTTTCCTACAAGTAACATGCTTTCCCCACTCTCTGGAAGAGTTTCTAAGCATCCCTTTACCCCTGGTTATCTTACATTTCACATAAAAAAAAATCATTTTGTCCGAATAAGAATTTTTTCAAACTTCATCTCTACTTCTGTTTTTTCTATAATATTTATTTCATTTTCGAAGAGCCTTACTGCTGAGTATTCCCTTTGCCTGCTCATGTTTTACAGATACACACACAAAAGATGCGGTTATCTTCTGTGCATTCTATTGTCTCTCCTTTATTGTATCTAGATTTCATTTGAGGTTAGATGGTGTAAGCTGAGCTTCCTGAAGGAGAAGAAAGGTTCCAGGTAAGAGTAGATTCACTGGTGTGTAGAGGTTCCTTTAAGCTTTATCCCCTGAAGAAGCTGAGCACATCGCAACATTACGGCTAGCTGGAACAGCTGAGGCTTTGAGGGATACAATTATATTTCTCTATTCCTCTTCTTTCATTGTACAACTTGTTTGTGTTACTTTGCAGTATCTTCTTGCTACACCTCTAATTCATTCAAGTATTTCTTGGTGTAATGAGCCTCTTTCCTAACTTCTCTTCTGTACAACAGAAGCACGTGGAGTCTTAGGTGTGTGTCTCCCTTGTCTTTTCTCCATATCTGTCATATGTTCTCTAGTAACTGTATGCTTCCCAATGCTTTCCTTACCCTTCATTTATTTTAACTGGCTCAAACCTTTCCTTGAGGCTAAAATTTGATCTTCTAACTTACTTACCTTATGCTTCTCAATATTTCTTTTATTGTTTTGTTTTGTTTTTGAGACAGGGTCTTT